CGCCCCCCCCCCCCGGTCATCCCCTCCCCAGTCACTCCTCCCCCACCCCCCACCACCCCCCTGGCGGCATCTGCGGGCTGCTGGCTCCTGTAGCCAAAACACCACTTCGTGAAACTCCAACTAATCGGGCCGAGCCTGACCTGGACGCTGGAACCCACAGAATCCCTGGGCGGGACCCCATCCCACCTACAGGGGAGACGCTGGCCACAGTGAGGGTCAGGGGCCACGAGTCCCTCTGGGACCTTCCTCTCTCTGACCGCAGACCCCAGGCTGGGTACTGGTGAGTGAGGGTGCTGTCGCTTTGTCACCAGCTCCTGAGCCGTGAGGACGAAGTGGCTCATCACCTGGTGTGATCGGAGTCCAGCTGTCACAGCGTCCTCTGTCCCCAAGCACAGGCTCTGCAGGAATGTGGCTCACAGGCCACCGCCAATGTGCTGCGCGGGGAAGTCGTCACCTTCCAGGGACAGCGTCTTCCTGCCGCGGGTCACAGAGACACTGCGGTCGAGTCCCGCGGGACAGGCAGGGGCTGGGAAGGGCTCAGCAGCCTGTCAGACTATTTTCCGCACACGACAAAGGGATTTCCAGCTGTGGAGAAACGCGTCCGCACTCACGCCCGGCTTCCTGGCTCCCGCTAAGCGTGTGCCCGCTTCGTGTCGTGAGCAAACGTGCCCCACCCCGTCCAGTGCGGCCGCGTCCGGCCGGAGCCGCTTCCCGGGAGGCCTTGTTCCTGAACTTCTCCAAGGCTCCTCGACTCCATCTGTAGGTCTGATCTTTTCCTCCACGTGTCACAAAACCGTCCCATCCCGTCACCTCAACGTCCCCCCACACCTCGCCGCTTCCCCGTCTGACTCACCCCGGCCCCCTTCGACGTGTGGTTCTCACCAGCCTCCCTGTCCGCCCCATGCTCCTCACACACCCCCCGGGACAGAGGCTGCCATCGGGCTCCGCCCAGCGATGCTGAGGTGTCTTTCCTGCGCCCTCCGCGGTCCCCTCTCTAGGGCACGAGAGCCACCTGGGACATGCAGCGGTGTCAGCGAGAGGGTCCCGTGGCTGCTGCGTTTCCCTGAGTCATTTTAGTGACCTTTACCAAACTCACCGCATGGTCCTGCCCTCCCGTCTGACGGTGAGAAGCGGCAGGAGGGAGGGACCGGTGTGTGACGGGCCTTGGCGAGTCACACAGACGCCTGCCTGACGGCGCGTCCCCCCCGCCGGGGTCCTGAGAGGCGGAGCAGTGTTCTCCCCTCCCCCACTGAGACTCTCCTAACTCTTTCTCAAAAAAGGGAGAGAGATTCATGTGTAGAAAACCTTTTACAATTTATTTTCTGTTATTAATAGTCTTTAAAGTATAAAAGTGAGGCTCTAGCTGAATGCAGGGTTTTGGTGGGAAGACGCCGACCGGGCCGACAAATAAATAAGTATTTACAGTCTTTGGCAAAACAAAGAAGTTTCATCAATCTGTACGAGAAGTTTGTTTAAAAACATAAATAATTTACCAAAAAGAATATGGTACATTGTAAATATTCACATCGTCACCCCGCACCGCCGTCCCCTCCCGCCAAACACAGGGACCCACAGACTCGGCACAGCGTGAGGCCGATGGCGCCCGCTTGCTGTCCACAAAAACGTATAAAGTGCAGCAAAATGAAAGAAAATCAACCTCGAAGGAAGCAGCGAACACGACTTTGTCAAATGGAATGTGGGCGTTAAAACGGAAGTTACGGATTCTCTCTATTTAACATCAAAATGAACCCACTGTTGATGGCCAGGGAGGGTCTGCCCCCGCGCAGATCGGACGAGGCCACCTCCCGACGCGGCGCGCGACTGGCAGGTCCTGCAGAAAGAGCTGCCGTGCCAAGCAAAAGCGGACCACGCCTGGGGGACGGCCGCGTGGCCGACGGCGGCTGAGTCTGGCGAGACTTGGCGCTGACGTTTCATCGGCACAGGTTTTAAAATCCTCTGTACAGCAGATACGTAGCAGTGAAAAATGCTGAATTAAAGTCACTGGCAACGGTATATATTAAGGTTCCATCCATTATAGACTCTTCATTATTATTTATTTATTCTATTACATTTTACAGCGTGCTTTGTCACGACAGCATAAATTATAAAGCTTTGTAGTTTGACAGGAAGATATTTTGCTGCAGCTTTATATTATTATATGCCAGTCATATGTTTACTTCTGGAAATTATACCACATATGTGTTCCCTGGCACTTTCAAAATAAGTTATTGTGGAATGGAACTGTATTCTGTGTTCATTTAATAAATATTAACACGACACTTATAACTGGAACCTTAAGGAAATGTGTCACCGAATTGAGTAAAGGCAATTTTTTCCATGGTTTCGAAGCCTAGACCAGGAATTACACGCCAAAGTGCGTGTGCCGTTTGCCGGCGCGTCCGGCCCCAGGAGCAGAGGCCGGAGCGGGGGCGCGGGGGGACTCGAGCAGACTGGCGGTTGGAACGCAGAGTCGAGTGACAGGGGCCAGGGGCTGTCTCGAGTCTGCTCGGCCCCACGCAGCCGGGCGGCCGGCCACGGGGCGGCACCTCGCTCACGCACAGGAGGCCTGGCCAGGCCCACGCCTGCCCCGCCTGGGGGCCACTCCGCGGGGACCGTCCTTGGACACAGTGGGCTCTGCGAGCGAGAGGCCCCTCGCCGCGGGCCGAGGGCGGGGGCGGGGGGTCCTCGTTTACACTCCGAGTCATTTCTAGTGTCCCAGTTGGTCGGTGGGCAGCCTGCGTTGCGGGGCCCTTGGCCGACCGCCTCCTTCCTCTGATGACCCTTCTGATGACCTAACGAGGCTGCGTGGGGTGGCGGGACGACTGCAGCCCTGTGGGAGCGCCGTGCCGTTGTTCCTGCTTAATCTGCGATGCTGTCTCACGCACAATGTCCCTTCGACTCCGTATACACATAAATACAATAAGGAATTACATGTTATATGTAAACGCCATTCTTTTCAACAAACGAGAAAAAAACGTGCTGTCGTGACAATCGTCACTGCAGAGTCTCGCGTGTCGTCAGACTCTTTCCTGCGGGGGCTGGGTGTTCATCTCCGGCCGCGTCACCGTGTGGTCTCGGGGCTGATGACGGGAGGTGAAGGTCAAGGACGGGGGGCGGGGGGTGCTGCTAGCGGGAGAGAAGCGGAGTCCGTGAGGCGCTGAGGTGTCCGGGCGACAGCATGGGCCGCACGTGGCTGGAAACGCAGCAGGTCCGGTTTACGCGTCTAGAAACAGTGAGCGGAATTAGGGTGCTGGGCCCGGGGTTTCCTTTCGTTCCGTTTCACCCGTAGCCTAAAATGTCTTTATTTTAACTTTTAAAAAAGACAGCAATGTGGTTGGTTGGATGGATGGATGGATGAGTGGGTGATGGATGGGTGGATGAAGACATCATGAAAAGATGAAGGAGGGAAGGGGGGGAGGAAGTGCTGAAACCCCACAGGTAAACAAGAGCTTCGCCAGACACGAGGAGATAAAGTGAGGTTCTGTGCTCCCTTCATCCCTTTATTTGATGTATGATCGTCAACGTGTGGCTTTTGAGAAGCATCGCTGAGCCTCGGTCACCTCAGCTGCACAAGGGGGATACTGTTGTGTCATGTGACAGTGAAGGATTAGACCTGGCGGGGGCCACGTTCCCTCCGGGTCTGTAATCTTTGATGTAAAGAGATAACCAAAGAGAACCAACCTGCCCTCCCTCCCTCCCTCCTCCCTCCCTCCCTCCTCCCTTTGCTTTTTCCTTCCATGTCAGCACGGGTGACGACCTAAACTCAGTCAGGGGCTCGAAGTGGGGAGGGAGCACAGAGGACACTACAGGACAGTGCGGCGGGGCGGGCATGGAGCACTGGAAAGCGTTTGTCCTCCTGAGGCCTCCGCATCCGACTGCGAACGGCACGAGTGACTCGAACTGACCACACGACACGTCTGCTGCGGGCGGCCCCCTCGAGCGCGGCGACGGTGTGTGTGTGCCCCCGCCCCCCAGCAGCCTGTCCCCGCTCACCTCTGCACTCGTACTTGAGGTCCGAGAAGTAAACCATCTCCTGGGAGAAAACGAACAGGCCCAGCCGCCCGCCGGCGAAGGTATGGTCGTACACGGGCCCCGAGTCCGCCATCACCTGCTTCCCCTCGTGCACCAGGACTCTGTGGACGGGGACAGAGGAGAGGGTGACCCTGTGACACATTCGGCAATCCTTCCCCGCGACTCTCGCTACGATGGCGGGGCTCCCCGCTCTCGCCTTCGAGAGCCAAAGAGCCGGTCAGTGGTGCGGGCGGCCCTTGCTGGTCCCCTCCATGGGGCCGGGGGCCTCTCTCAGCCTGGGCACCAGCCCCACGCCCCATGACCTCCATGTCATCGCTGTCAGAGTCATCGCAGCATGTGCCCGCCACCTTCCTCCCACTAGCTGTGCGCTGTGTGACGGCCGGGCCGGGCTGCCCTACAGACGAAGAACGGACGCCTTGTGTTCAAGCCACCCTGGTGGGCGACACACGACGGAGCAGGCGGGCGTCCCCGTGGGAACTCACACCCTGCCAGTACGCACGCCCCACCCAGCCGCACGGTGCTGGGACACACGCACATGCACACATACACACACAGACACAACACACACACATACACAGATACACAGGCACACACACACAGATACACACAGGCACACACATACACAGACAGACATGCACACACAGACACACATGCACACATGTGTACACACATACACAGAGGCACACATGCACACATGCACGCAGACACACACATACAGATACAGACACACACACATGCACACACACAGACACACACACAGAGACACATGCACACACATGCACACATGCACAGATACACACACGCACATGCACATGCACACAAAGGCACACACATGCACACGCACACACACACATACACACAGACACAACATGCACAGACAGACACACATGCACACGCACACACATGCACACGCATGCACACATGCACACAGACGGAACATGCACACACATACACACATACAGATATACACACACACACGCACAGACATGCACACGCGCACGCCCACGCACACACACCGTTCGTGAAGGGCCTGCTGGGTCACGCTCTTATCAACTAGTGTCGACTTCACAAGACTTAAATTTCAGTCACCCACAGCTCATTTTACTCAAAACCCACCACGAAGGCCGTCACGCTGGGAGGACAGAATTCAGTGGGGCTGACATGGGTGAGAGTTTTCTCCGGACGTGATTTCAGTCCGGCCACTCGCGTGTCAGACACGAACGCGACCCGCTTCTCCAGGCGGAGCACGGGCCACTGCGCTTTCTCCGCTCGCCCAGACCGCCCGCCGGGGCCAGACGCTCGCCACCCTCTGAGCTACCTGAATGCGACACGTGCGATATTCTGCTCTGCCACAGTTGGGGTTCTGTCTTTTAAATGACAGCGACTTGTAGGTAGGAGGAGGTGCGGGGCGGGAAAGAGGCGGAAGCCCCAGGGCGGCCTGCGCGCCGGGCTCCGAGTCCGTCCGCACCGTGACTCGCCGTGCGAGGAAGTCACGCGCATGCGCGCCGGGCTCCGAGTCCGTCCGCACCGTGACTCGCCGTGCGAGGAAGTCACGCGCATGCGCGCCGGGCTCCGAGTCCGTCCGCACCGTGACTCGCCGTGCGAGGAAGTCACGCGCATGCGCGCCGGGCTCCGAGTCCGTCCGCACCGTGACTCGCCGTGCGAGGAAGTCACGCGCATGCGCGCCGGGCTCCGAGTCCGTCCGCACCGTGACTCGCCGTGCGAGGAAGTCACGCGCATGCGCGCCGGGCTCCGAGTCCGTCCGCACCGTGACACCGGGCTCCGAGTCCGTACGCACCATGACTCGCCGTGCGAGGAAGTCACGCGCGGCCGTCGCTGGACAGAGCGTCCGTGCCACCGAGCGCCCTCACCTCATGTAGCCCGTCTTCGGCCGGTGGGTCAGGTGCCACCTGTAGGCCGTGTAGTCTTTCCAGCCAATGTTCTTGGGGTCGTGCCACAGGGTGCGCACCTGAGGGGAAGAGCGAGTCTCAGTCGCGGTTGCACGGCGCCAGGAGGGAGCTGTCGTGTGGGCCGCTGTGCCTCACGCTCACAGTACGGATGCCCAGGGCCGATCGGAGCCCACGCCGGCGAGCAAGGGCACAGTGCCGGGAGCACGGCCACCTGAGCCGGACACACGGCCTCGCGTCGGGGCCTCTGCTTCCTCGGCGTGGGACGGAGGTGCACCCTTACGCTAGCACGGGGACAGAAACACGCTTAACTGGTAGAGTGTCGCCCATCACGCTTGCAAAAGCGCCCGGCACGGCGTCTTTGAGAAGGCGGGGCTCACTGGAAGACCCTCAAAATGATCACGCTGCGCGGCAGTGGATGAGCCCAGGGTGGGGGCCTCCGGGGGCGGCCGCGCCTCACCTGTCCGGCCGTGTTCCCGGTGTGCCACAGGGCGTTCCGCAGGTGCTCGCCCGTCCCCGTGGTGGAGTTGACCACCTTGAGGGACACGCCCGAGTAGCCGTAGGCCCGGGTGGGCTGGTCCTCCCAGTAGGTCTGGGTGACCTGTTTCCACATCACCACGTAGAAGCGGCTGCTGGACTGGTAGCCGAAGACGAAGCCGGCATAGTCGTCGTCACGGTCGGTGTTGACGTAGAATGTGCCGCTGAAGTCCACAGACCCAAACTCGTCGAAGCCTGTGCCGGAGGGAGCAGCCGCCCTGAGACCCGGGGCCCCTGGACCAGCCCCGGGCACTGGCCGGGCGCTGTGGGTCGGGCCCGCCCCCTTTCCCGCTTGGGTTCTGTCACCGTGACGCTAGTGACACCCAGACCCCACCCGCGGGGGCGGGGCAGAGCTTCACTGCGCTGTGTATTTTATCGACCCAGCTCATGAGATCAAATGAAACTTCAGAGACTCGGAGAGCGAGCACGCGTTTCCCCGAGCT